CCAGTTGAAGTACGTTTTGCAAAAAAATCTTGTGAATGTAAATGTTTTTTTACTCAAACGTATCTGTTCTAGTGACAGCAAAAGCAAAATTTTGATAAATATCTTGTCACTGTTTTGTTTAACACCATTACTCTTAAAATGTACTCTCACTCAAAGAGAAGTGCAGCCAACTTGAAGGTCATCTTAACGATATATTCTCTTCTTCGCTATCACTAGATGCGGCTCGAAACGCTGATTTCAAATATGCTTTCCGTTTTTGCTATTACATATTCTTTGAAAAGGGTTAAGAAAATTTCTTTGGGACTGAAAAATAGCGTAAGCAATGCTGTTAATTGCTCTAAATCTAATTACTTGGAGTACAGAGCAAAACTTTGCTTTGGTTGTAAAGCCTAACTCAGTCAGCAATCGAGCTTTAGGATGCTTGCTTAGAGTGCTTTGAAGTATCCGAATAATGATTGCAAATAGTGCAAGCTAATTTTTGCGAAAAGAAAGTTACATAACTTTCTTCGCCGAATTACCTAGCAGATGTGGGATGAAGACGAAATCAGCATTTTGGGGCATCCAGTGATATGTCTATTATATTGAAATGTTACAACTAAATATCCTTCTCCTTTTCTTTAGTCGCATTCGAGACGAGGACATCGTCAATCGAACCTGATGTGAGGAAACCTAAGAAACGAACGTCATGAAACTAGTACTTCACAATTTCTACTGTAGAGATGGCCTTCATTTTTGAGCGTGCTATGTGAACTCCTTGGATGCATCGTGAAAGGTTTGTCCATGTCTTCTACAGGATAGCAAACTCGCAGTAGCGTCTTGTTAGAAGCATGGAAAGGGAATAGTGATGCACAGTGCATGAACATATCAGTTCATTTATTCGTTTGAGCACTCAAATCGAAAGGACTGAATTAGCATGATTGATTTTCAGCTACATGTTTATTTCCTACACCTACGTATGCATTTTAATTTATAACGTCTCTTATACATACATATTACTATTATCTCAAGTTATGAACTTTGAAAAAGCAGTCATAGCCTGAACGAGTTCAAGGAGCGAAATGTAGGCGCAGACCAATTACCTGACGTTATGGGTAGCCCAGTTCCATTTCTTTGCGCAATTTACAATTGGATCATGGCTAAAAACGTGTTTCTGCAGTGGGCACGTCATAATGTGCTAATAGTACTAACGTAATCTACTTGGTAATTGGAACGTTCCGCCAAATGAGCCAAACTCTGCTAGAAGAGCATAAGAATGCATGCTCCCCGTGGCTGCTTAGAAAAGTATTTCAGTTTAGAGCATTTGATTTCCAATAGTAGTATATCAGATCACGTTTCCCGTATCTCTGTATTGTATTATTTCACCATCGGAAGAAATTGCATGGTTACTAGAAGTTCTAAGCACCCGCATCGTTGCTTCAGGGCAATCGTCGTGATGGAGCGCCATGATCAGTAACACTGTGTATCTGCACAGACTTGCAACTGTTGTCGACTCTCCCACAAACAA